TCGTAGAGCTCTGGAGCCGCCAAGAACGGGCTCGAACTTACATGGCTATGTAACTCACAGAAGGAATCGGAAAAGGTCGGATTTAGGCCCTTTTAGCTTTGAACCGCTGATATAGGTGTCCAGGTACGTTCGCTAGGTAATTTGCGTAAAACTTTGAGCTATCAATACAACCAATAATGAAAGATAAATATCCCAGCGGCGTCCAGAAGAGAATGTAGAATGGTAACAGAATGATAAGGCGCTAACCCACCCGTTGACAACAAACCGATGTATCCTCCTCGACACACGGCGCGGCTGTCTTCGACGAAGAAGTCTCATCACCCTGTGCTACTGCTGCGGCAGGATCCTGAGGGATCCCTAGATCTGCTGAATTCCCACACGACCTGAGGGAGCACGTTTGCTCCTGCAGCTCACCAAGTTCCGTGAATTGCGACTCGCAGTCCCCGGTACTACGGGCGGTGCTGGCAACCGTCGTAAAAGTAAATCCCCATGTAAGAGTGCGACTACCCTGGTGGGCCGTATTCGAACTTCCACCGAACTCAATGGTACGTTCTCCGCTGTTCTGATACTCTTCTTCTGTCGATTCGTCCTCCCTTGCCGCCCTCTTCCTCCAGAAAAGCAGCCTGAACAACGTCGTTATGACCACTAGTAAGTTGCATACCATAACCGAAACCGCTATCTGTGCAATAGGTTGTGTGGTTTCGGATTAGATGATCGTAAGAAGTCATAGCTATGATCCCATACCTGCACATTAATCGCGTATGACAGGCCTTTTCCATCCCCGTTTGATAGGGTGAAAGCCACTCGGACGCAAACCGCAATCAAGCTCAGGAGTGTACTCGCAAAGAGTATCAAGATAAGTCGACGTTCTCCCCCTCGGAGGGAGGAACTGTTCCAAAAGGCATACAAGGGGAGTGCCACCAGGAGAATCGATGAAATCCCGCCGCCTATTCGAATGCAATGAGACCAAGAATCACGAAGACCAAGTCGTGCTCACCGACAATATGGACGGTTGCAAAAATCAGCCTTTGCACTTCCAGTTTCTTTTGGAGAACAGGATCGTTGAAGACGACCAATTTTACCGTGAGGGTCGCAATCCCCGCCACGAAACATCCAACTGATAATCCTATCGCTACCGTTCGGAGTCGACAGGGAGGTAGGATACGAGCGATAGAGAGGGCGAGAGATATCCGCGAGGACCTAAAATGACGCCGTGGAAAGGAGTTAGACGAGCTAACAGCCAAAATGGCATACTTGTACGTACCAAATAGCCCCAAGACCTAGTGAGCTGAGAGCCGAAACCATTGCTAGGCTCTTTCTCTTGTACTCCCCCGCGTTCATGATCAATCGTTTATCTTGTACTAGCACAGCAAGTAGTAGGGTCATTAAAGACAGTTAGATCGATTTCATTCAACACTCACTGGAGGTCCACTTGAGCCAATCCATACTCAAATACACCGCAACCATCACCGCGGCAAAAGCAGCCCAGTAGTCGTCCCAAGAAACGAGCCTGATACGGATCCGTCGCGCCAATCGAAGTATAGTAAGAATTATTGCGAAGGAATGAATGATTGTTATGAATACTGGCCAGGGAGAGAGATCATCGTCAGTCATCTTCTACAGATCAAAGTCCAATCCAGAAGGAAAACGCCTACCTCGGTTGTCAGAAATATCGAGCTCAACTTGATGGCTGGGCATAGCTGGGGCACGGGGAAGAAGGAGAGGAGAAACCAGCCCACTGTGACTATGCGTCGCCATGATTCAAATACACGTATTCTGCCCCGCTGCTGGCGGGTCACCGGGTGCAAAATAGGAATCCCCGTGTTGAGGGCACGACTTTTATCTAATCGGACACCGGCCCTGCGGGATCGATTTAGAGGGTGGTTAAGCCGGAATCCCGAGAGTCGAAAATTAGTATGTATATGTTCAATTGGATCGTTGACGTTATGTCGCTGAACCCAGGGAAAGAGTGCCAATCTAATGATTGACATTCGTAAAGGTTTGGTGAAGTATGTTGTCAAACCCGAACATGTCGTAGAAAGTACATATGCTATTTATAACGTTCACCTGTGTGTCGAACGAAGGAGGAAACATTGGAAGCAATCTGTCTCCCGGGAGCTCGAGTAATAATGTAATAATGTGCTCACCTCACTGGTCCCACCAATGGATCTTTGCGCATGATTCTTGTTTCAACCGAGTTTGAATGCCTTGGGCCATTCCCCCAGAGACAGCTCAGACATCCTGTCTTTACGGCGTCATCTGGGGTTAGAGTACTCGCAATGTGTCGCCCCGTTTATCCAAGAAATGGTGCATGTACCTGATCAGCGACGAGCACACAAATGGTCAAAGCCGCAAGCTGATTGACAGCTTCAGTAAATCCTGCACACCATCGAGAGTTCGGGTGTCCTGCAGAAATGTTCCGTTCCGTTCACATATAAACCACGTTTGTATGGTGTGCGGCATCGGGAGGTAAGACACGGGCGCAAAACTGGCGATGTGGACGACTTCAAGCATCCAGTAGCCGATTGCCTGACTTCGTTGGAAGTACTAGGGCTTCGAGAGAAGAGGAAAGACCGGTGGACAGAAGGGGGAAACAATGAAAAAAAAAACAGATTGAGAGAACGCACGTTCCACTCACAATTTAGCAAGTTCATGTCTTCGGGACCTGTTCTGATTCAGTCTGGCCCCTCGATGAAATCATGGTTCCCTACTTACGTGAACCCGAAGGAATGTTGTGGTCCTATTCCTTCCAAGTTGGACCCACAATACTGGGTAGTCATGGAATCCATTCTCGTACATGTCTAAGTCTTCACGTAAGGCAATCTGGTCACCAATTGATATATGTGCATACACAGCACGGACACGAAGTCTGTCCGCCACAGTGTCATTAGACTTGTAGGGGTCATATATGAAGTGCGCTATCTCACATACCGTGCACCTCCACGCGACTCACGGACATGAACTTTCTCCTTCATGTCATCATAAAACTGCCGTGCCCTCAGCCTTGAGTTGACCAGCGGCGTTCTGTATGCACGGAGACCATGTTATGAAGCTGGAGACGGGTGATTTGACCTTCTTGCGAGAGATAGGGTATGGAATCTATAGGGAACTAGTTCGGTAACGCCTCGATTAGAACGTTCAAAACGACAACATACCCACGAAGCTCACGATGCTCCTTCCTATCAACCCCCAGAAGAGAAAACGGTTACTCACAAGGACCTGCTAGGACGAATGCGCTATTATGGAATCGAGACATTGTCTATGATGGAACGAAGACGAGCGTCGAGCACTTTCAGGTTCTGGAACATTCGCTTCAAAGCCACTGAGAGCCCTAGTGTCATCGATACATGATATGCGGGCACTGTGATAACTAGCTAAAGACACAGACTTCTTCAATGTGTCGTGACACTGACACGTCCCTATTACCATGAAACGAGTGTCACCATCGAGGCACACAGAGAGCCCGAGATACACTCATCTTGTCTTCTAGAGTCTATCGATCATTGCGCCTCCCAGAGATTGACAGCACCCGCAAATTATACCCCTTCCCAAGGAGATATGAACTCGAACTTCGACATGGGAGTCAGGAGCAAGGGCAAAATTGTCACAGTCACGAGAAATCAACACGACAAGTCACAGCCAAGAAATCACGCTTCTTCCTTGATCCCGTACTGGGACTTCCATGACCTACTTCCCAGCTGCTCAATCCTGGCAAACACATATACCAAATCGAACACTCGATTGACTTCATTCCTATCAACAGACGCAAAGAGAGCTCTCCCATTGAGTCTCTACCTTGCGGCAGTTGCTCTATCATGTAAGTACTTTTGATTCTATTTCTGGTTTCGACGAATGACACTCGGTCCGACCTTCGAGCCTTGATAGTCTCCAACTCAACCGCCGCAGCTTGGGTGAACTCAGTTTACGAACGACATATTGAAATCGGGACCTTAGTACATTATTCAAGTGAACAACAGACCTGGACCTCACGTTGCTGGAATCCCCGCGAGAACTCTTAGGCTGACTCTCGACTCAATTAGCTGACGGGATCTCACGCATTCTGAGCTACCTCCCCAAGGTACAAGTGCCGGGCGTGACTGGATCGACTATAGAGATGGTAGCAGATAGCAACGTTCGAGCTCGTCCGTTCTCACTCCGACTCGGAAGCCCGTCCTTTGAGTTCATCATCAATTCCAACAGGGCCCAGACTGGGATTGAGCGAAGTAAGACAGCTTCGTTGCTACACTATGAGACACAAAGCTCCAGGTGAGGACCGGGAGTCAGCAAATCTCGTTGTCACGTCGCTACAGGTGGGGTTTCCATCCCGTTCCTCCTGTACAACTACTGAGGACTGAGGGACGCCGCCTCTCTTCTACAAGTGCGGTCTCTGAAACGGTATCTCTACAGGCATTCTCATGCTAAGGATGGCGGCGTACAGATGATGACCCAGGTCGCCCTCCGCCTTTGAACTTCAGAATTTATAGACTCAGTGTCTTCTCGTCAGTGACCGGTCAGAAAGGTATTACTAGTGCTACTGGTACATAACGGCGCTGATACACTTGAGAAGTGCTACATCCTCAACACGACTACGTATATACGCCTTGACTTTACTGCTTTCCACAGACATATCCGTGTACCTACGCCGAATCCAAGCCACAATTCCTTACCTCCACCGAGTACGCCTCCACAGCATGCTTAGCACTCAATGCTCGCTTTGTTAAGAGAGCAGTTGGCGATTTTCAAACAAGATAGAACTGAAGATTTAAAACACGTAAGATCCCAATCGCGATACATTCTGCTGAGACTTGTGGGCGTCACTTCGTGAGGACCTACAATGACATCATAAAATAGCAGGGCTTCTAAGGCATAGTTTAGGAAATCTACCCGTCCTCGGGTACCTCTAAGTTGAGCAACCTCCGAATCATACTTATCGACAAGTGCGGTGGCAAGAACTAAGCCAACACGGGTCCATGAGCTCCTCATCTTCCTTCTTATCTGTGGGCCGACTAGCTCAGTTGGTTAGAGCGTCGTGCTAATATTGGTAGTCGGGTCAAAGCCTCACCTTGTTAACGCGAAGATCTTGGGTTCGATCCCCACGTTGGCCATTTGATTCATTCTCGCATTCGAGAACATCTCTTTTTCTCGGTTTTGGTATTCGGACGACGGCGCCGGTCGGACGTTGAATGGCGCTCCAACCTCTAGACCCCGAGGAGGGCTACTAGAACTGAACACGAACGTGTGTCTCGGACGGGAGCGAAAGACGATGAATAGTAAGTATGTATTGTGGTTTATCGAGGTTGAAGGCTTGTGATATGGATACATCTAAGTAAAATACAGGATGATTATAATCATACAGTGCGGAAGCTGAAACTTGAAGTCTAGTTTATTCGAGTCGAAGCGGTCGTGGTCACGAAACTCGATAGTAAGAAGAACAAAACCAGCAGGGAAAGACATTTCGTACATCCCCAGCTCTCAACGGCCTTCAGACATGCGCAGGGAACCTTGGCCCACCGAGGGAACCAAACATCGCGATCTTGACGAGTCCGAGTTTGGCATCGGAATAAGGTGGATATGGGTATCTGAGGGGTGTGGGGAGGATCCGATGGAAGGTACTACAAAGATCGTGTGTTAGCATGTGGGAAGGGAAGAACGGAGAGAGCAGGAAAAACTCACGACCCAGAAGCTCGTCCACCACTATGGGTATGACTACCCAGTACGCCTCTACAATGCGAGAACTCATCAAACCCAGCCTGACCAACGCTGAAGTGTATGAACGTCTGATTAATCACTACGTTCGTGCTTTTGGTCGTTTGGAGGACTGGATCGTCGTTGTCATTACACAGAAAAAGGCCAAAAAAATGAAGAAAAGACGCACCACGTTTTCTAAACGCTCTATCCCTCGAGAACACATACATCGTTCTCACCTCCTCCCTCTCAAGAGACTCCACCGCATCCTCCCACCTCTCCACAGGTACAATCGGTACAATCGGTGCCATCATGCCTTCGTTATTTTGCAAAAGTATGTCCGACAAAGGTACTCCACGTATAACGGTCGGCGCGACGTATCGCTTCTCCCTGACCGTCTCACCGCCGATAACCATTTGTCCTTTTGTCCGGCTGAGAAGGGATGCGACATGCTCGAAGGCTTCCGTATCGACGAGACGCGTGAACGCAGCAGGTGGTGGAGATCCATTCGGAAAGAGTTTGGCGTGCCTAATGAACGGGCCTGTCAGGTCAACACTTGGAACAATAAGAGAGGAATGGGGACGTACGCGTTCTGGAACGCCTGCACGACCCTCTCTTCCTCCCCACCCAGCACAAACACCCAGTCCGGTACCCCAATCGTCTGTCCCGCATTCACTGACTTCGCCCATAAGATCTTCCTTGCAGCGCGTACGAGCGATCGAGTTGACATGCTTGTCGAATCGAGGAATGCAGGTGATTTCCCTGCGAGGTGGAGCGTCGTGGGCGTCAGATGCCGTGCAGCTGCACACGCAATCACCTTTCCGAGGTGTCGAGTGCCGGTAAAGTAGATGTGTGCCCAAGTAAGAGGGAGAAGGGTTTCCAATGGTGTCTCGACGGCACGAACGACGTCGGGGTCCATATACCTCCCAACCAACTCAGCCATCCACCCATGACCACTCGGAATGTGGAGAACGGCACAGTTCCCCGCTGCAATCGCCGATGCCAATGGAACGAAACTCGTGTAGAGCGGGTAACTGGAGTGAGGAACGATCAACACAACACCCTTTCCTCGCTTCCTCCCCCCACGGGCCCATTTTTCTAACCCTTTGAACGTCTGATGCACCTCCTTCAGCGTGGCAGCGATCTCGTATACCTGCGTCTCGAACTGCGGTCGCCCTATTTCATTCTGCGGGATGAATTCTTCGTTTTCTTGAATCATTTTAGCCAGTGCAAGGAGTTGACGCTTCCGATATCGAATACACGTCAATTTTCCGTGGTTGGTGAAAGAGGAATGCTGGGTAAAGGAATGGATGAGGTCGGCGTGCATCGCGGCGATTATGTCATGGGTGTAGATGTCGCCTATCATGGGTGGAGGGTCTGGAAGACTTTTGACTGTCCGGTTCGTCAATGTATGGGCGGTTTGAGAAGTGAGGGTAGAGTGGTGTGAACGAATTGAGGATGCGGACGCCATTTTAGAGGGGCAGGAGGGATGTGGCATGACTTTTGTAGCTTTGTCCATTGGCATTTTATATGATGCGTGTGGCCTTCAAACGTTTCGTCATTTCGTGTGCCAGAGTCTGGAACGGTATTGAATCTGAATTTGGAATGGCTGTACATGTTTTGCCGGGGAGTTCAAAGCCACAGCACAAGACGCGAAATTCTCAGGCTCAAATAATCTAAGGAAATTCCACATCTGAAAAAACCTCAATGACTATGTAGCACTACGTAGCACAAATAGTCAAATAGTACCTGTAGGTTGCCCAGGGTCTACGTAGTGCTATGTAGCACCTGTAGTACTGGCTCGGTTAATTTGATTTGACCGTGTAGTGCTACATAGTCAGTCGGCAACAAGATCTCGTCCCGATGGTCAATATACCGCCCAATAAAAGACAATTATAAATTCCGTCACTGACAGGGATGAATTCAAGTTGTATGACAGCCGAGTCTTCCAGTTATAGTCGCTAGTGATGCCAACGGTTCGGTCTGAACCGTCGGTTTGACGGTTTCAGACCGAACCATGACCAGACCGGGGGCCAAAACGGTAGGCTCGGTTCCAGCCGTTCTCCAAAAGGGGAATGACCACATGGAAGAGATGAAGATTGGAGAACGGCTGGTACCAACCTTGGCCTCAGAACCGTGTCACAGAAATGTGACATTTTACTTAGTGAAATTCGACGCATCCTGTGCACAAAAACTTCGATTGCAACAGCGTCCCGCCCCATTTTCCCATAGAAAATATGGCAAATAGTATCAATATCAGTGTTCAGCCTAGGAATGTAGAAGAGATACAAAGAAACCACGAGTACAACGAACTGAACCATAATTTGGGTGTCCAAGACCCGAAAAATCGGTTTCTTGTACGAATGAGCGAGCCGACACCTATAGAAAACGAGGGATAGTCAGTTTTACACTTCTAAAGGTAGAAAAAACACTTACCTTGCATGTAGGTTCGGTTTTTTGAGCCAGGCAAGCAAAATTGGGGGACGTGCACAGCCAAACGGACGAACTACTGAGTTACCCGGAGTTCTAGAAGAGCCGTGCGAGCAGTAGAGTCCATAGCAGGGCATAAGCCAACTGAAAGAAGCCTCGAAGGACAGCGAAACGCTGGTTGACAATAGCACTTGAGAATTTTGAATTTTCCAGCTACCTCTCGTGGTTTGCGCTGTAGAGTAGTCGCTGATATCATCTAGAAGTGGAACACATCCATAGATAGCCCAAACGAAGGAAGGCGTGGGGAGCAGAGATCACAAGAGAGCAAGTGGAAGCAGAGATATACAATCAGAGCGCGTGAGTCGACGTTAAACAAATTTTGATGTGGATCGAGCAGGTTTAGGGTTTGATTTGCGCTCTATGAGGTTTTCTTGGTGTAGCAAAAAACAATATATAAGTTTCGACGGGTTAGTGTGAGTATGAGAGAGCATACTGGAGAGTGTCCTTCGAGCTGGTGGTGGAGGAAGACAAAATTACGCTAAGTAAAATGTCACATTTTCGTGACACGGTTCTGAGGCCAAGGTTGGTCCCAGTCGGTATGGCAAGTTGCTCCTGCCCATCAATCCATCAAACGCCATACCGTAACTGGCCACGCGAGTCTACCAAAACGGTTCCGAAATTAACCGTGCCCCCGGTTCGGTCTTTGCCGGTTCTCAACCGGTTAACCTGCAGTTTACCCAAAATTCTGTAATTGTACCTTTATTTACTTGTATTAATGTATTTACAAGCCTCAACAACAACGGAGGTCCTGAATTGGCAAGAAAAAAGCTCTATACGGCACTTGAAGTTGTGGGGAATTTTTAATTTTCAAGTTTGTTTGTCCATGGACGTTGCCGCCAGGTTTGAGCTCACCGGCGCTAGTAGCGGCAGGCCCCCCACAATAAGTGCCGGCGACGCGCCTGATTACTCCCTTAGGTTTCCTCCCTGTTCTTTGTTGTTGTAGAGGTTGATAAAGGTTAATATGTTTATTTTCTTGATTCCAGTACTCATTATATGCATTATGGAGTTTAGAAAGCCCAAGAACAAGGGGGAAGAAAAATGTAGGTTAAACCATGGTTGAACCGGTCTCCTCGGTTCCGGAACCAGACTGAAGATGGCCGACGGTTCAGTCTGAACCGATTTGGCTGGACCAGACTGAACCCAGACCGGACCAGACCAGACCGAACCGTTGGCATCACTAATAGTCGCCCTGAAAGGAATGTGCGTACTGCTGTATGATATTTTTCAGGTCTAGAATGCTTGGGAGGCACGCTCTGAGATGTGATTGATTCAGTAGTAATACGACAGCAACGAGCAGATACCAATTACAGCGGAGAAGTTAGAACAACGGTAAGCAAACTTTAGTAGTACTACGGTAGGTTTGTGGTCACTAGCAATTGTAATACTGAAACTGGAAAAAGAGGCTAGAGATATCTTTTTGGAAACATAGTAGCATAAGTAAATCAAGCCTGAGTGTGGTATCGACTCTAGAAAAGTCTGGCGGACGGGATAGAGGAAGAATGATCGTGGTACAGAAGAAAGAAGTCTGTCCGAGGTGTAACTATTTAACTATTTATGCTCGGCGCGTAAATCTCGGTGAATACTCAAGCTCAAGACTGACACATCGACTTGTAAAATTCCACCCATTCAAGTTCAACCTCAGCGAAAGGCGAGTTCCGAATCGGGAACATGAATCAGAACTCAGATGTACTGAAACGGAAGACCCTGGCTGGCCGGGCGACTCAGTGTTGGACCCAGGTGAGCCCTCAGGGATATCGGGAAACATGCTTTTACTATCCAAATGGGACTGTTGGGTCATTCGGGGTTGGCCAAATGGGACTTTGCTGGAGCACCATGCGTGATAGGTCCTGATGGATGCTACATAGCACTACGTAGTAGCGGCAATTGCTACACGGACTATGCGAACTACGTAGTACTATGTAGACGGGGC